CGGTTGGCCTCGCCGTCGACGCGGGGGCGCCCTCCCAGACCGCGCCCCTGCCGCGGCCGCGAGGGGGCGCGCCCCCGGGTGGCCGCCCCGAAGCAGGTCCCGAAAGGGGCATTCCATGCGCGAGCTCTACCGCGGGCTCCTGTGGTTTTGCGATTCTCAGGAGGGAAAGAAACACACAGACACAATTAATCGGCGATTCCCAGAAAATGTGGGAAAATATGGGAAGTGGGGGGGAAGACAAAAACCTAGAAAATATGGGAAAATATGGGGGATAATTTTATTTGTGTGTATTTATTTGTGTGTCCCAGTTCCCCTTCAGATTCAGGACGTTGACCCCGTGCTCGCCCCCCCGGATTAGCTGGGTCCGGCGCAGCGTTTTGTTTCGAGGACCGGCTGCGAGCGGGACCTCCGTGCTCAGTGGAGCTGCGCTTCGCTCCCGTGGCTTTCGTGGATTGAGGCGCGGGCGGTTCGGTGCGTGGGCGGCTGCTCTGCGTTGATGTCCTGCTCTCCTCGTCATCTTCGATCCCGATCTCAAGATGCGCGCTGGCCCTGGCCGCGCTGGTTCGCCGGCGCAGGTGTCGGGGGAGCTGGCGCGCGACCGGGGGGGTCGAGCAATGGGGGTGGGCGTGTCGAAGGTGCAGGGGATGACCAGACGACGGTATATGCGCCGGGCATGGTCCGAGATGAAGCGTGGTTGTGGCCTGGCGGGCATCGTCAACTCTGAGGGGTGCGTGCCCGCCAGCCCTGAAAGTTTCCGGTGCCGCTTTTGCTGCTCATTGGTCGGGCGCGCTCGCTGAGCAGAGTCCTGGCCAGATGCTGTGGCCTGAGATCCTGGGGCATGCTCAGCCCGTTGTCCTGGATGCCGATGACTGGGGGCTGGATGGTGATGAGTTCGTCGAGCAGCGCGCGTTTTTCCAGTGTCCTTCTCTGGGGTGGATCCCGTGCAGTTGTTGGATGGTGGGTGGTGCTGCTGACGTTCTTTAGCCCCATGAAGAATTCAAGACCTCCCCCCCCCTTCCTTTCTGGCAAAATGATAACGCGTCCCCGCGCGCCAGAAGCGTTATCCCACGATGGAGGACGATGTGGCAATCGCCTTGGCGCCGCGCGCATTCTCTTCAAATGCTTGCAGAAGTTTCGCGGGTGGAGGGCGGTTTGCGGCCCCCGCCTTAGCGCCGCGCACATTCATTCCAAAATCTTGCAAGAGTTTCACGGATTGGGGGCGGCTCGTTTTCAAGATTTGGCTCTCGCCTTAGCGCCGCGCGCATTCGGTTCAGGAGCTTGCGTGAGTTTCGCGGATGGAGGGCGGTTAGTTGTTAAACATGTGGCCTTCGCTTCAGCGCCGCGCGCATTCGTTCGAAAAACTTACGCGAGTTTCGCATATCGAGGCGGCTCGTTCTCAATAAGCGGCTCTCGCCTTGGCGCCGCGCACATTCCTTTCAAAGACTTGCAAGAGCTTCACGGATGGAGGGCGGCTCGTCTTCAAAATGTGGCTCTCCAGGTCGGCCAATTCTGCCAGTTCGGCCAGTTCTGCCAGTTCAACCAGCTCGGCCAGCACAGGCTTCAGGCACCCTTGTAAGTATTGCGGCTAGTCTATTGAATGCATGTATTCTTGGAACTAATTTGACCATTGCTGCGACTGCGACTATCATTATTGCTGCGACCACTTCTAATACTACTATTGCCACTACTGCTACTGGTACTACTACTACCACTACCTACTACTACAACTACTACTACTACTACTACTACAACTACTACTACTACTACTACTACAACTACTACTACGACTACTACTACTACTACTACTACTACTACGTTCATTTCTTCTTCTTCTTCTGAAGCTAGTACTCGTACGACTACTACTACTACTATTACTACTACTACTGCTACTACTACTACTACTACTATTACTACCACTACTATTAGTGGTACTACTACTACTACGACGACTACTACTACTACGACTACTACTACTACTACTACTATTACTACTACTATTACTACTACGACGACGACTACTACTACTAGTACTACTACTACTACGACTACGACTACGGCTACGATTACGACTACGATTATTACCCTTTTACTACTACTACTACTACATTTCTACTACTACTACTACTACTACTGCTGCTGCTACTACTACTACTACTACTGCTACTACTGCTGCTACTACTCTTACTGCTACTACGGCTACTACTACTACTATTACTACTACTACGACTACTACTACTACTACTACTACTACTACTACTACTACTACTACTACTACTACTACTACTACTACTACTACTACTACTACTACTACTACTACTACTACTACTACTACTACTACTACTACTACTACTACTACTACTACTACTACTACTACTACTACTACTACTACTACTACTACTACTACTACTACTACTACTACTACTACTACTACTACTACTACTACTACTACTACTACTACTACTACTACTACTACTACTACTACTACTACTACTACTACTAC